TGAAGGCTTCCCAGGATACCACACAGGCTGAGATTGACGAGGGCTTCCTAAGAATGGGGCTGGGATCCGCACTTTGTAGAATAAATGTGTCTTGATGTGGACCTGCATTGCCTCGCACGTCTCACACAGATCGTAATCAATGCAGTTGGCACATCGGTATCTGATACCTTGAATCGGCATGGCACCGCAGCTATTGCAAGTGACTCCACGATGGATATAGCCGTCCCTCCGCGCCTGGTCCTCAGCGATGTGGTAAAGTAGATTGAGCAGGTTTTGACCTTCCCTATTGGAAGGATCGTTGTTTCCATCACGCCATGAGAAGACACTTTGGTCGTCCACCACTGTCTCACCCCCGTCAAGATTTTGTGGGGGCGCAGTCACGTCTGGGAAAGTGGAGGTTGAGAGAGTGACACGTTCGCCATTCTGTCGTCGCCGACGCAGCTCCTCTCCATAATTTACATCTCCGTTGAACCGGACCAGAGCTCTTTCGATACCAGCTCGGGAGATACCTCGGCGTTGAAGTTGTTCTGTCAAGTATGTTCTCTCTGGGGTATTTTCTGGGAGAATGTGCGCAGACGGGAAATCAAGTGCAAGGAAGGATTCGAGAAACGTATCTTCCATCATCTCGCGCATGCGCTCTGCATGAGCAGGTGGGACACCAACTTCTTCCATCAGCTGGTCGCGTGTTGCGAGGAGTGATGGAAGAAGACCGCTCTCCACGCGACGGCCATCCTCTGTCTCAATGCGAAATGTCCCATATACACCATTCTGACGCTCTAGTTGTTCAAGGTGGGTAATGGCTCGATAGGACGGAGTATCAACGATCCCGAGTTCTTCAGCTTCGGTTGGTCTCGCGCGGCGCACAGCATTTCGACGACGGAGTGAAGTTGATGATGGCTGCGAAATGATGTTATTGTGAACATAGAGAATTGCATAAGCAGCGGCGACACCAGTAAAGAGATAGAGGATAGGTCGGTATCGTGCTAGTGAGACTGGCCCTGGGCGCGAATCGGACATGACGGAGGTTTGGCGGAAGTTGAGCTAGCGGAAGCTGCACAAAAACGTCAGGAACACAAGGTGTAGCTCATTCTGATCACAGCTAGGTAAGCAGATCAAGCCAGAACCGCAGTGTCAATTAAGACACTCAATTAGTATGGATCTGACAGTCAAGTTGGAGATGGCATTTCTAAGGTTGAAACGTCAGCGGGTTGCTGACGGGACCGCCCAGATCTTGGCTTAGTAAGCCATACTTGAGCCCGAGCTCAGGTGCCTGGCAGAGCCCTACAACGAAACGCATCAAAGAAACATGATGACTTGCATGCTGTCAACAACACTATTACGAAAACCAACACTAAAGATTCGTATCCGGCTAAAATACAACATCAGAGCTGTAGACTTCTAGAATGGATATTGCTTAAAGATCTACCCAATGGTGTCATCCCCAACAGCGACGAACTTTTTGCCACCCTTCAACAGATACAAAACCCCAAGAATGCACCAGTATCGCCCGAGGCTGTCCACATGTGGTAAAGGATTGAGTGGTTGATTATCGGTAAGCAGTCTTACCCTTTCGGTGTAAAACGATGCTTACTATACCGTCTTCTGGATGTCCAAACATTAACCAACTACTAGAGTGGAGAAGCAGCAGAGGCAGGGAAGAGTTTCGTACGTTGGAAATTTGTCTCAGATTAAATGAAGCTCTTGCATATGTGCGTTCAGTAGTTCGGTGGGTGTCGCCCGGGTGAGAAATGGGCAAGCACCGCTTTACGGTCGCGCGACCAGGGGTGACAAAGGTGAGTGCACTATAAACGGGCTGAGACTCAGGGCGAGAATCACCCAAGTCGCGCGACGACGTTGACCCCTTTAGCTGAACCAATAGCAGAATATCATTGGATCGTGTTGTTTCCCTTGTACCACTCGACATCTTGGCATTTGCACATCACTAGAATTGGAAGCATCACACACCCAGGCAGCAGGCAAGTTGGCAATACGAATCTAATTAGTTGATCTGCTCAAAGGGCTATCTCGTGATTTTTGGCCATATAATGTGTCTGTAACCGAGTGCGGATCTTCAGGGCCTGCCCAGGTTCTTCTTCCGCCTCTGCAAGTAGAGTTGTATTGCAGTCATCGCAAATGCGGAAATGAACTTGGACTTTGGAGTGCGAGGCACTACTGTATACGAACGGAAACTTCATTTGGATTTCACCTCCTTCTCGATGGTAAATTGGGGTCTTCGGATCTGCATCCATACGTGATAGGAGTGGCCCTGGGGAGTGTCTGACAGGACGGCCCGTCTATACCAAGACAATTAGTGCAGTACTGCGAAGAAATACAGTATATTTTCTGCATTCTGGTAAAAAAATCCCACGGGTCATGGTGAATTGCCGGTCTTGTTCTTCATAGGTTTAGCCACAATTGTGGAGACTTGGGGCTGAAAAGACGGGAGTGGAACGGATGGCCCTTGAGGAGCTTGTGGATGCTAATGGATGCTTATCCGTACCACTGGAATTGACTAGGAAAAGACGATCATCCCATTCTTCGGGATTGTATATTCACCTCCTATCCTCTGCACTAAAACAACGCGGCAACTATCTACTTCTAGTAACAATACCTACTATCAAATATAACGCTCCAGTCCATTTAAGCCCGTCGTTCCCCACGTTTACTTCACTGCTCTTTTTCCAAACCTGTTTTCCATCAAGTGTTATTTACTCCCTAAAGACCAGTCGCCATGTCTAGGTCATGGAAACAAGTGCGCACTTACGCTGACCATCTGGGTCATCCTGTCGTGCTCGAGCAGTACGTAAACCCAGAATACGAGCCGGAGCCTAGTGAACTAGTTGCCTTTCAGGTCTACAGCCTTGTTCCCCTGGACGACGACCACGACAAGCTCCGAGACTACCTCATGCAGATATTCTGGAATAATGAAGTCAAGCCTTTGTTCGAGATTTATTCATACCGGCCGCCCGATGGCTTTGCCTGCATTGAGCATAATCGCATTGAAATCGCCCGTCGCAAGCAGCAACATCAGTCAGGGGTCAAGAATCCCCTCCCACTGATTCCGAGATTCAATCGTCCATATTCATCCTCGAATGTTGGATTCTGTGTCCTGATACGATCGCACAGTTATCGAGTGGGCAATATGCAGGACTCGGAGGAGGCTGAGGAGATAGGCGAAGGCCCAGATTTACTCTATTTCAATCGTACATTCTCTAGCACGAGTACTAAGGTTGACGTGGCGCAGAATTTGCGTGAGGGCCAAGAGGAACTCCCGGCAGAGGCATTTGAATTCGTTATCGAGCGCCTTATGGACCAGATCTATACAGGCCAGTTGATGGTTCTCGATATCTTCAATAATGTCCCTCGTTATCCGGAGCGAGACGCCTTAGGTATTAACGAGGGCGAGCCTCCTAGCCAGGATATGCCGACAGAAGAACAGATTCGTGACCAGCTAGACCAAGAAACCTCTAGTGGCTTCTCTCTTGATCCCGCATTCCATATTTCTCAGGAAGCCAACATCGTGACAGTCACCAATACCCCTAAGGGCAAATCCCCTGATATTCAATACATTGTCCATGCGGCTTTTCTTAGCCACATACGCGATACAGAGGGTTCCTCTATCTTGGAAAGCACAGCACTCCTCTTTACGGCGTCAATGGTCTCCAACCTCCCGGCCAACAAAACTCTTACTCTCAAATTTTTCATTCCAAAGTCCAATTCCTGGTCGGCTATCAGACCGGCTCAAAACGAAGTTCTTGAGATTCTATCCCAGCGAAATGAAGAGAACCGAGAAAATCCTTTTTCTATTGGCGCCCTACACAATATCACAACATACGATGGTCAACCCCTAGCAGCAAAACGTGTTACCCCTCAAGGACCCGACCAATATATCAAAAGCTCACAGGGGGCATGCGACGATAGCGGATTTCGCACGTTCACAGTTGTTCTTGACCGTGCAAAGTTTGTCTCGGAGGCTGGGGTGTACTTCTACATGACGGACTCGGACGAGTCTGAGGAACCGGACACTTCATCTGATGATACGATCGTTTCCCGGGTCGTAGACATGAATACGGCTGCTTGGCGGCTGGGGGTGGTTGTTCTTGATGAATGAGCTAGTCCGGTAGATCAATTGTTCATGTCTATTCCTATCTATTTTGATCCGCAAGACAACTAAGTAAACTGAAGGGGGGGTGTCTTCTTCAAGTTTCACTGCTCATTGACGTGGACACTGGCATTCCTGAAGTGTCCCCTCGCACTTTGCTTGCTCCCACTCATTCAACAACACAACACTCTATAAAAAAAATATGAAAGCCTTGTTTAGATTGTCTTGGTAGTATCCCCAATGCCTCCGAATTAAAGATTTGAGTTTGGAGAAAAACTCCTCGATGGGGTTCAAGTCAGGCGAATAAGCAGGCAAATAACCTATGTTATCCACTACCTGTATACGTTGTGGGAAAGTAGTAGAAGGTCGGGGTGATAGCTTGTCATCGATTTACACATAAAACTTCTAGAGAGACAGCAGAAACTGTTTTATATAATTGTCTATAATGACACTATTTACCTAAGGTCTCTTATGGCCTAGTAACTATAAACCAATAGTCTACAAACATCAAGTTTTACGTATATATAAGTTGAAGCTAAAGTAGCTTTTATAGACTTCCGCAAAGCCCAACTTTAGGCCCAAGATCCGGGCTCAAAATCCGACCCGTAACGAGCTAGGGTTCGAACTTCTCGAGCTCGACCCGGACCCCGGCTCGTAGGCGAGGGGGGGGCGCCTCGTCGAGCCCCCTACATCTGCGGTATCACCTGGTATGTATCTACATTAAATGTATCAAGTGATCGTCACTTGGCAACCCTAAAATAGACACTGTGTTTTCCCATTGGTCATAACGGCCTCTTTGCTTTTCTAGAGGAAAATGTGAGGCTATGCAGACTGAGGCTCTGGTTCAGATTCCCCTCATTGATGAATTTTCGCACCTTCAGGCCCTTGTGTTTTCGTAATGGCGCCTTCTTTATTATTGCTACTATATATCGTGACGGCTGCTCTAGCGAATCTCTGGGGGGCATTCAGGGACTCCAAAGATGTTAAGGATTTAACGGGCTGCGAAGACACCGAGGATCTGGAGGACACCGAGGATCTGGAGGACACTGAGGACCTGGAGGACACTGAGGATCTCGAGGACATTGAGGATCTTGAGGAGATTGAGGATCTCGAATACATCGAGAACCTCAAGGGCGTTGCGGGTATCAGATATCGCGTGTTATATCGGTCTAGAATACTTCGCTAACTATTCCCAGCTCCACTTATAATACACGCCCCACCCACCGGCAAAGGACCAGTCCCAATAGATCCGTTCTTCGTCATGTGGTCTCATGAAAATGAACACGAGATTGAATCATATTCCGAAAAGTACACCATAGTACTAGTCAAGCTTGAAGTTGAATACGACCCGTGCGACGATTTATTCGAGCGATACGAGCTGAGCTCCATTTATTCGACAGACGTTGGAGGTGCGGATGGTTTTCTGGACGTTCCTGCTTCAGAGTTCACATTCTTTGCACCCGGTGAGACGTTGACGGTTGACTTGCTTTTTTACAGTAAGCATGACATGGATATTAATATGTGCACATCTGTCCGTGTGTCCATGTTCGCACCAGACCCTACACCTGCTTTGGCCTCAGCCATCATAACCCCGACAGAGACTATCGAGTGGCTCCCAACGCCGACCACGGACTATGAACATAGAGGAGAGCTCGGAGCCAAGGTCGAAGACCCATCAGCTGGCGAGAAAACTGGTATAAGTGTCGCAGTCAAGGGTGTTTGTCTACTCTTAGTTGCTGGAGGAATCATCGGGTTCCTTCGGCGTCAATCGCAGCAATTTAGATGGCGGGCTTTACACAGTCAACGGCCAGAACAGATTCCTTTGTCAACACTGGAACAACAGGATCAGGGAAATCTTGACGAAGGCGATAAAAAAACGCTGGGATGAGAGGTGTATGGTAGCCGATGGTTGTATTGGAGACGGTTGTTGGATGAAACTACTGAACTAGCTAAAAAACATATGTGTGTGTGGCATGGATGGGATGCCGGAGGCATCACGCCTCAACATCCCCAACAACCGATTTTTTTCCCCATGGGCCCTAAGAGCGCTACTAGCTGGAGACCGGAGGAATGAGAAACACTTCGATGATCTTATCGGTTTCCCAGGCCTCTTAGATTGGTTGATTCCTGAGGGATCCTTCTTGATCTCTCCGTCTCACTTGACCAATAGAATACTGATTATACTCATTTCGTTTCTTTCATTCTTGGGAGCACTTCGTGACCGCCAATAATAAATATTCTGAGCTATGGAGAGGAAGGGATAAAAGTACGAAAGCCGTTTAGAATTGACTGGGTGGGCTCGACTTGCCACACTGCACCAGGACTAGCAAGCGGAATATTCAGCCAAGGCTGAATCTGCTACTGCAAACGAGAGAGATACAATGGATATTGTATTGAAGGTTAATTAAAGTCCTCGAGAGAAAGGAAGAGCCTTAGTGAGCGACTAACAGGAAATCTGCTCCCGAAACGGACTTTTATACGACAAACGACCGTGATGATCTGCCAGCCCTGTCTAGGCATTATGTTCAAATAAAAATTGGCAACTATCAAGATAACTGTCAAGAGACGCATCATGCAAAGGCCTTCACCCCTGTATGCATTTGGGGTTTATGTTTGCATTCTTCATAATCAAAGACCTGCAAATATCCAAACGGCCACCACGAGCAGCTATATAAAATGATTTCCAATCACGTTGGAATCTTGTCCCGACATCTGCTCTATTCGTCAGGAGCAGTTCCACTAGCATACAATATCCGTGGTTCGCGGCAACAATGTCCGGTATCGACCCGTCATCACTCGGTATGTCATCGGCTCCATGCTCTATGAGAACTTGAGCTATTGTACACCATCCCTGGTGATAAACAGCTTGGAGGGCATTGGTATACTTCCTGCCCCGGGCATTGACATCAGCCCCATGGCCTAGAAGATCCCGCACGATTTTATCATACCCTCCAAAGCAAGCAGCCTGGAGGGCATTTCCGTAAAATCCACCCTGGGCATTGACAGCGGCTTCTTCTTGTAGGAGCAGCTGTGCGATCTTGTCATGCCCTCCAGCGCAAGCAGCCTGGAGAGCATTTCCGTAAAATCCACCCTGGGCATTGACGGCGGCTCCTTCTTGTAGGAGCAGCTGTGCGATCTTGTCATGCCCTCCAGCGCAAGCAGCCTGGAGAGCATTTCCGTGGCGACCACCCTGCGCGTTGACATGGGCTCCACGCTTGAGCAGTAGCTGCACAATCTTTATGTGTCCTTTGAAACAAGCGGCCACGAGGGCGTATCCATGGCGACCACCCTGGGAATTGACATGGGCTCCACGATTGAGCAGTAACTGCACAATATTTATGTGTCCGTTGAAACAAGCGGCCACGAGGGCGTATCCATGGCGACCACCCTGGGCATTGACATGGGCTCCACGATTGAGCAGTAGCTGCACGACCCTTTTATGCCCATTCAATGACGCCCATTGGATGGCGTACGTGTTTGTGCTATCTGGTATGAGAACGGCTCTTTTATGAACACGAAGTAGAAATTCGACTTCCTGCTCATGGCCGTTGAATGCTGCTAGATGTAGTGCTCCCATTGTAGGCACATTCTTGTGAGGCATTGTTGCCTTCCAAAAGACAGGAAACCAGAGTGAGAATGGTTTTCCACCCGTGTCGTATAATCGATGTACTCGGTCGAGAGCTTCTGGGTCTGAAGCCAGATTCATTTGGCTCACGTGGTAAGGCCAATGGACTGCTGAATAGGAAAGGAAATCCCGCGTATTGGAGCAAAGTCTACTATCATCACACACCAAATCCCCCATCAACAAGTATTGTGAACAGATCTGAGCCATCTGGCGCTCAGCATCACTCAGTCTCCATGAGTATACGAGATCCTTGTTGTTTGGATTGCTCTCCGAGATAAGGAATTCTCTTGCAGTTTGATGAATGAGGAAGATTTTGCCGCTATTGATAAAAACAAAGAGATCACAATAATAGCGGAGCTTCTCACCTATCACCGATGAATCAATTCCAGCTTTTGTTGCAGTTCGTGATTGTGGGGAGTTGGCTATACCTAGCGCCATGGCCATTTCCACCGTTGTCAGAGGACGGCGTGCAGCAACAATAATTTGCAAGATCTTCTTCGCGGTCTCCGCTTCATGTGCATCGGAAGAAACTCGACTAAGAATCTTTGTGTATGCATCATTGACCGACTCGGGTACCAGTTTGTTTATTTGCATTGCTTTAATTGCTTCTTCTGTAGACAGAAGGCTTCTGTGGAACTCGATTTGAATGTGACCAATTGTCAGATGTAACCAAAGATAAGTGCGGTGTTCCATTTTCAAAAGCTGTTGCTCAAGTTGTTGCTGTATATCCGGGGATAATCGCTCTTCTAGGGCTAGCTTCTTAACCTCTAGCTTCACGAACAGATCAATTTCCTTACGAATTTGATCATTTTCTTCCTCCCCCTTCAGGTGTAGATGCGGGGAAAAGTCCGTTATCGCTCGGAAGCAACTCTGGATGTGGTCATAGGGGCGACTAGTGACCAGAAACTTTAAACAGGTATCCTTTTCTGATGAAGATGGCTGGCAGTGGAATAGTTGGAGCTTGGGAATCAATCGATCCCGATCAATCTTACGGCATTCATCAAGTGCATCAAAAATACATATCGTCGTAAACGATAAGTCAGATGATGTTGCCGCTATAAAGATCCGCCATAGGTCATCAACCTCTTGTCGGAGCCTCTCTCCATTGCTTTCCCAGGAAGGCATAGCATAGTGTAATAGATGAGGTCGTTGGCTAAAGAGCTGGTGTAGTACTGAGCATAATGCTACAGCCAGATTGTTCTGATCATCGTTGTCCTTAAAAAAGAAGTAACATATTGTCACTGCTGGACTCAAATCTCGCATATAGTCATCAATAATGGATCTAGCCAGTACAGACTTCCCGCAGCCTGGATCGGCTGACACCCATAGGAGATCATTGCAGCTGCTATCCAACCAACGAATATACTCGAGGCTCTGTAACGCCCATTGGCAAGTTCCTTCCGCTCGGCGTGGATTGATGTTCTTTTGCTCCTCGTAGTTCGATGTTTTGAAAACTTGGTGACAGCGTTGTTGCTGCTCCGTCAAAGCTCTTATTTTCTGCTCATCTTGGTGTCGTTCTCGTTGCTCGTACGCTCGATCTGAATTCTGGCTGGTACTTTTCAACACGTCTATATCATTTGAGAGGTTATCATGTATTCACATAGTGATGACAAGACTGCCTAGACTAACCAGATAGAATAACCCGAATCCTCTCCTCGGCCTCGATTCTACTTAGAGGTATCCTCTCTAGAAGATCTTTGGCGTATGCAGCTGCCACCATCGCTGCATAACCTTGCCACTCTTTGTTCTTATGCGAATCCGAGTAGTCACAGATACCCCGGATAACCAAACAAGGAAAAGTGTTCATCAGCCCGGCTGCTTCCATTTCGAAACAGAGTACGTCTTTCTCCGCCGCTAGTCTATCTCGAATCAAAGCGTCCTTCATTAATTGATTGGCAGAAGCAATCAAGCCATAGTGAATTGCAGGATTATCCTCTTCTTTAGACCGCTCACGTCGTAAAACCAAGTTTGAAGCATCATTTGCACAAGATACAGCACCGCAATTTGATTTATGACTAAAAGCGGGCCGAAAGAGCCTATCCGTGATTGATTCCGGACGTTGGTATTCGCTGCGCAGCCGAGTGTTCGTATCGAGAATGATATTGATAGCCTCCATAAGCTTATGCCCCTTTTTTCTTGTATTGTGCCTGTATTCCCGTCATCGCAGTGCGAAGTGTAGTTGGTGGCTGGTTCAAGAACCGCGTGTGCTGAAAATTTTGCTCTTGGATTGACTTGCCAAAGTCATACTGGAAGACGCCACCCTCACCACCACGAGGCGCGCTGACCACGACATCGCCTAGGCGAACGTCGTGCTTTTCGCTAGGTACGCCGCCACCGATGCCGACCATAAGGCCTATCCTGACGTTATGAAAGGTGTTCAGCATGTTTGTGGCTACATTAGCCGCGGAATCTGTGCCGTATTCACCATCAGGCAAGACGGCGATAACGACGTTGTGGTCGTGCATCTTGCCTAATGTATAGTCGTTGGTGTCATTCGGCGACACAAAGCTGGGCCTTTTGTGCTCCTCATCGAGAAATGCCTGTACAGCAACGTATTCCACGAGCAAAGCGCAGATAAAGCCCACTGTGTAGTTCGCAGGGTCTGACATGCCTGCTACTATAGCAAAAAGCGTCCAAAGTTGCTATATTGCTTGGTTTGAGCTTGAGATAAGTATACGACACGACACGGTTTACAGATGTGACATTCTTCAACAATAATAAAAGTAAGAATGGGTTTAAAGGAACCAAAGCTTGCGACGGTCAAGGCAGGGAGAGAAACTGTCACCAACCCGAAAGGCCCTTGTGATGTATACGAAGCATACATAGCGGGCGGTAAGATCAAAAATGCTATTGGCGGGAGGCGCCCAATCTGTCTCCACTTAACAAAACACCTGGGCACCTGGGCACCTGGGCAACATTGGAACCTTTACGGGCGACGAAGTATGCCACCAGTTCATAACTCTCTCATTGGTTTATTTGCCTATTCAATTATATCAACATACCATATATATATTCTCCAAGTGTATTTAATTGATACTTTACAAGAGTATGTTTCGTATGTCAAAATTGAAGTATATAGAATAAGAATAACCGGCCGCTTTTACGGCCTTACAATATCTTTTTAGATGTCCTTTTAGATGTTTTTCTCACGGATGTTTTGTTATCCGCGTCAGTTTCAACTTTCGTAGAGAGAGGGCAGAAAAAAACGAAAAGAAGCTTAATTTGTGAAAGGGACTTTTCTATATATAATGATGATTTGATGATGATTAGAACACACACCGGATTATAAAAGAGAGATCTGTGGATAGCATCAATGAATGTCTGCCGCATCACTATCTCCCCTGATAGAGTAGAGAAGCCCTGCCACAGGGGAAGCCCAATGTTCAAATATGAGCCTACCCAGAGAATGGAGATCCCCTTAGGCAAGTAAAATTACAAGTGATTGCGCCGGAGAGTTTAAAGCACACATGACATAAATACTCCTCAAGTTTGTCATTCCTATTAGAGCGGATGAACTCACCTTCTGAGGCCATTATCAATGTAGATGACTGAGTGGTGCAAGCAGGGAGCCAACTGAAAAGAGAGGGTTCTTAAGTACAAGTCATTGGATGTTCAATGAGAACAGAAGGGTGAATTGAATGATAGAAGAAGAACAGGAAACACAAAATCGACTGTATTTGGAGGCACATATCGTCTTTTTGATATTCCTTTTAAGAAGTCTTTCTTATACGGCCTTTGTTTGAATATTTCCCCCTTATTGGCGTTACAGCCAGAGTATAGGCAGTAAAGACGGTTTAAAGATGCTTATTTCTTTAGCTGATCTGTGTTCTGAAAACCTATGTTCTTTTATTGATTGGATTTTGGAATAGACACAAAACTTCTTTTATGTCCAATATATCTAGTATGTCTTCTTTGGTATGTATATATGCGATGAACATGAACAATTTCCGAGCCAACCCCAATGCTAGATAGACCACACACGATAGTAAGTTATATAAGAGTTTGTCGCTTTTATAAAATAATGGAAACCTGAAATTTTGAAGTATCCCTGGATAGATCTTCATCTATAAATTAGCGGTTGAGTTTGCTTTCACGGATGTAACAGCTGCTCAGCAAAGCGAAGAACACCACAACAACCAAAAAGGCGAATCCCTTGTTGGTGGACCAGCCATAAGAGTCCCGGACAATCCTGGCAGTTGTTGGGTCGAGGGTTTTGATGAAATCCAGACTTTCTCGTACGCCTTCAACAATCTGATCGATATTCTTACTGTCGCGTAGACCTGATTGCAATCGATTCCGTAAGACTTGTTGAACCACAGTTGATGACAAAGAGAGGCCAATCACGGATCCCAATGAGCGGAACAGATATGAACAAGCAGTGACGACCGCCTGGTCTTCAGGAGTAGCATTCGATACTGGCGAAGTGGTTAGCATGCATTGAAGGGGTGTAAAGAAAACTTAGATAGGAGCTTACTCAAACCGATCAAGGTTGTAGTGACACCAATGCCATTGCCGAATGCTGAAATTACCATTCCCAAGATCATCGGGACTGTACTAGCCACCACACCACCGGAGAACAGGTATATGCAGAACACACCAGTTGTCAGGAAAGAATACGCAACAACTGTCAGCCAGTAATACTTGCCATACCATTTCATCAACAAGCCTGCAAACACGGATCCAGAGACACCAGAAAGAATGCTTGGCAATAAGCGCAGTCCTGCAGTCGTAGCAGATACACCATCTACCGCCTGGAAGTATAAAGGGATATAAAACAGGGCGGCAATCCAACCCCCAAAGCTGAAGAAGTTGCAGCTGTAGCAAGCAAAGAATGTTCGGTTGAAGATGATGTGACCAGGCGCGAAAGGTTCGGCTGCCAGGTAGATCTCAACTAGGATAAAGATCACGAACAAGACAGCGGAGACACTCAGCGAGGCAATTGTCAGGGGTAGTTTCCACGAAACATTACTGCCACGATCAAGACCAATTAGGAAACCAAGAACGGCGCCAACAAGGACTACAGCGCCAAGGAAGTCGATGCGACGCAGCTTGGTCTTCCAATGGGCGCTCTCGCGAGCGGGCAGCTTGAGCAAGAACGATACGGCTATGAATGCAATAATGCAGAGAGGGAATTGCGCTAAAAACGCCCTAGAAAAAAACGTCAGATGGCGTAAAGAGATGTGGGTCTTGCATCATTCATACCAGCGCCAGCCAATGTAGTCGGAGAGAATTCCACCCAAGGGTGCACCGGTACCGGCACCTGTTGCATAGATGATATTGATAATACCCTGCCACAGCCCTCGATCACGAAGAGGAACAAGATCACTCATCAAAATGCTGACAACAGTGGTCATACCTCCACCGCCAATGCCTTGGAAGACCTGTTCGAAAATAGTCAGCATTACATGATTTAGGTTTGGGATCATATGCAAACATACACGAGCAGCAATCAATTCATTGATATCTCGAGCCAGACCGCATCCTAAGCACCCAGTACCGAAAATCGCATATGCAAAGAGAAGACATGGCTTGCGACCAAAAATATCGCTCAGCTTGCCGTATAAAGGCTGGAAAGAGGTTAAAGTGAGAAAATAAGAAGTAGCAATCCAGCTGGTCAGATTGAGAGCTTTGAGATCGCTACCAATCTGACCATAACTGGCCATAATAATTGTCTGGTCGGCCGCTGACAAGAAGATCTATACATCCCGTTAGTTACAACTCTGATAATGGAACTAATAAGCACTGAGAAAGAATTCATACTCCAAGCGATATGGCAGGTACAATATATTTAAGCTGTTTCTGCGCATCATAGAACGGCTCTTTGCCTGAATCCTCTGTCTGAACTGGATCCCCTGATTCCACATTGTGATTAGAAATCGTGCCGTTGGAGACAGCGCCGTTGGAGGAGGATCCCAGCAACGGGGAATTCTCGGTAGGAGATGTCTCTGGAGCCATTGTCGAGACTGTATCTATCGAGATTGCTCCAGATTGTCTCAAAGTCAAAATGACTTGACTGAACTTCTACGGAGAAAGAAACAAAAAGAAGAGCGAAAGCATCTAAACCCCAAAAACTCTCCGCACGTGAAGATAAGGCCCCTCACTCCTGGGGCCCGACTTATCCGTTTCGCCCAATCAAATGCCCCCAATTCCTCGGGCTTATGCCGCCAGACCTTTAATCTGCGACAACATCGGTAAACCCTCGCCTGGGCTATGGTCTCCTATGTTATAATTTATTTGTTAAATTACCTCAATTATAGAACTATATTGATATGCATTGAACGGTCATAAAGTCGGCTGTTAAAGAGGTATCTGAATATATGCAAATATTTCCAATTAACTCCCAATTCCCTGAGCTCATGCTGTCGAAGGCATAGGAACTGGCCCACCAGGTGAGTCAGCCAGGCGGGCAGTCAGCACCTCAACACCATCCTCGGTTACGAGAAGGGTATGCTCAAACTGGGCTGACAGAGAGCCATCTTGGGTGGTACTGGTCCAGTCGTCGGGCCAAGTGCGGTCACGGTGGGTACCGATGTTGATCATGGGCTCAATTGTAAAGCACATACCGGGCTTGGCAGTTCCCACAGCCTTGTTCTTAGCGTAATGAGGGACGTTGGGCGCACAGTGGAACAGTTGGTTGATACCGTGGCCGCAGTAGCTTTTGACGACACTGCAGTTACGGCTCTTGGCGTGCTTCTCAATGACATTGCCAGGTTCGCGGAACAGCATTCCAGGCTTGACAAGGTCAATTGACTGGTCCAAACATTCACGCGAGGTTTCCACCACTCGGACGGCATCGGGGTTCGCAAGTGCCTTGTCTCCAACATAGTAGGTCTCGTTGATATCGCCGTGGAATCCCTTGTGGTATAGAGTGACATCAATGTTGACAATGTCTCCATCCTGCAAGGGTCGTTGATCGGGAATACCGTGGCAGATAGTCTCGTTGACCGAGGTACATACGGACTTGGGGAAGTTCATGTAGTTCAGGGGCGAGGGGTAAGACTAAACATATGTCAGTATGGTCTTGTGCACCAGAGAGTAGCTCCTCGTACATCACGCTCGATACAAGCCTTGTGGACAACCTCGTCGATGTAATCCGTTGTTACACCAGGCTTCAATTCACGTGCGGCAGCATCCAAAACCTCACGAGCCAATCGGCAAACCTTGCGCATACCCTCTTGTTCCTCCTTGTTCAAGATGGTGATGTTATGACGGCCGATAAGTTTCTGCTCGGAGCGGGGAATACCATCGCGTGCATAGTCCGGGTGCGGGATCGTCTTGGGAATTGTTCGTTTGGCGGATAGAGGATAGACGGGCCTCAGAGAACCGCTGTATGGGAAGGATGGATACGGATTGAAGGTTCCGGTGGCTGGATCTGGTTCAGAAACTACCTTCGGAGGAAAAAGATTGGTGAGGATATTACTCTTTTTGTGAATGGTCTTATGTTCGCTCTGGAATAGATGGTCAGCTCTTGTTTCCATAGAAAGGGGAATATATTGCGCATCCTCCAGTCACATCCGAGTGTCTACATACCCAGCTTCGCTTGAAACAGTCCTGCGAACAGAAGAAACTGTCCGTGCCGCTCTTTAGACATGTCGGGCATTGTAGGGTGCCTGCGTCGTTGGGGCAGTCCACACCCCGGCATTTGCGATTGGCAACTTCAGCCATATTGGAATAGCAGAAGCGAAAAAAATAAAATAATCGAGGAAATACGTAGTAAAGAGTGGATTAAATGGAGACCAAAACTTCAAGAAAATCCCCGCCGGCCGCAAGGCGATATGGGACTAAACCTCATTTGGACTAGTACCAAAACGGCTTATATTCGCCTGAGGCATCAAGGCAACCCTTGAAATGACTAATGTCGATCATCTCATTTTGGAACATTGGAAGGGGCCGATTTCGCAGCACGTGATGACGACTTACGATTTTGTTTCAACACATATTTATCTTCAGTTTGGATACTGACCACCTGAGCAGTTACATGATGGCCATTCCAAGGCAAAAAGTGGTTGTTGTGGGTGCTGGCCCAGTAGGGTCCTTGGCAGCGCTGTATGCTGCGTCAAGAGGCGATGAGGTGGAAGTATATGAGCTCCGTGGAGGTACGTTCCATTGACCTGTGTAACCCTTTTTCCTTTCTTTCTTTTTACCTCTGCGTGGCCCCGTTGAGAATGATCTGATTGTCAAGAGAGATGGTACATGTATTTGGCCGGAAATGGCTGGCTTTTATCAAGACATCATGTCTCGCAAGGTCCCTGCCTCAACTCTTCAATTAAGAGAAAACCACCCCCATTAATCTATATTGTGATCTACCACTGTCTTCGATATCCCCTGCACTTGCCCTGGCTCAGTTGTGATTCATTGCGAATTCTTCCGAACTGACGCCAATAATCCCTGCACTTCCGTAGATCTCCGGGACCCTACGACTGTGCCATTGAACTTTACCAAGTCTATCAACTTGGCACTCTCCGAACGTGGCATTACATCTATGAGACATTCTGGCCGGGATGATTTGATCGACAATGTCCTCCGTGAAGCGATTCCTATGCATGGGCGGATGATCCACGGACGAGACCGAGGAGATCTGTGGGAAGCTGCACAGGCCTATGACGTTCACGGCCGGGTATGCACCGATCACCTGCTTGGCAGTTGTTATTGCTATTTACACTGCAGATCATAGCTAACCACTACTACAAGGCTATTAATGCTATCGACCGAGGAACTCTCAATAATGCTCTGCTCGATGAGTTGGAGAAGACTCCCAATGTCAAGCTATTTTTCAACCACAAGCTCACCGGTGCCGACTTCCGCACCAACAAGGCCTGGTTTGAGCGCAGAATCCCCGGCGAGACACCTATGACCGATGATGCCGGTATAGCCGGTCGAGTACCAGAGATCGAGGTGTCCTTCGACTACCTCATCGGTGCTGACGGTGCACACTCCGCCGCCCGCTACCACCTGATGAAGTTTGCTCGTGTTGATTATCAACAAGAGTATATCGACACTCTCTGGTGCGAGTTCCGGATCCCACCAACAGAGGATGGGGACTTCCGTATCTCGCCAAACCACCTTCATATCTGGCCTGGACGCGAGTTCATGTTCATAGCACTACCATCAGCGGATAAGTCATTCACATGCACCTTATTCGCACCATCCTCGCACTACAACACCCTCGAGACCTCGCCACAGGACCTGCACGAATTCTTCGACTCCCATTTCCCCGGCGTATGCCCAGAGCTAATCGAGCCCGCGGCGTTGAGTGAGCAATTTGTGGAAAACCCTCACCTCCCACTGATCAGCATCAAGTGTAACCCCCACCACTTCAACGCCAGCGTCGTCATTATCGGCGATGCAGCTCACGCAGTCCTGCCTTTCTACGGACAGGGACTGAATGCCGGTCTCGAAGACGTCCGGGTCCTTTTCGAGGAACTAGACAGACATGGAGTCTACGACCCTAACTCTAGCGTCTATACACGCGGTCTCAAGCGCCAGGGAGCCTTCCAAGCGTACACAGACCAGCGGTGCGCCGATACGCATGCCATCAATGATCTATCGAAGGAGAATTATCTCGAAATGCGCTCGGGTGTCAAATCGCCGCTGTACAAGCTGCGCAAGACGATCGAAGAAACTATCGACCACCATTTCCCGATCTTTGGTTGGAAAACGCAGTACGCCCGTATCAGCTTCAGTAACCAGCGGTACTCGGAGGTAATTGAAGCTGTTCAGCATCAGAGCCAAGTGCTTGGTCTTGGTTTGAGCGGAGCTTTGGTTGCTGGTGTTGGTGCTGTGTCCATCCTGATGTGGAAGTACCCTCAGTATCTCTCGCCTCTGGGGTTGGTTCGGTGCTCACGTCACCTGGCTTGTGTCGGGCTGAGGACTATTCGGAACTTCATCCATATGTAAAGCTGCTTTGTCGGAAAGGTTGATTTTTGAGTGAATATGTGACAACATGCAGACATTTGGAGGATTTTTAGTGCATCTAATTCATTACATCAAGTAGCATAGTACATACAGCAGACTATGATAGAAAGCATTGCGGACATAAGAGGAATATATTTCAAGATTCAAGTCCGAATTTTTGATCAAACTAATATGAACACCTGATAACCATGAAAGTCCTTTAATCCCAATACCTGATAGCACCGTCCAATCCACCAGTGACAACCTTACTAGATTCATGGGGATGCCAGTCAACACAAGTAACAGCACCACCTTCCTTTCCACCAGCTTGGATCTTGTGGTACATCTTGCCAGTCTTCCAGTCCCAGAAGCAGACATAGCCACCGCTGTCACCAGAAACAAGGAACTGGCCATCAGGCGAGACTTTGAGGTCGACAGCGTACCCGGAAGTATTATGTCCAACGAATCGCTTCTTCCGGTTTTGACGGAATTTGTCCGTGGCGCTGTAGACGACAATCTGGTTGTCGCCTGACTGGAAGGCAACATACTTGCCATTCGGATGGGGAGTCGCACGGGTGAGTGCGAACATGTATGGCTCTGCGATGAATTTGATCGGCACAGGGATTCCATATTCCCAAGCGCGCAGCGACTTGTCGTCTGAGGTAGAGATGAAGCGGCGATTGTCATCAACGAATGTGAGGGTGTTGACGGCTGCCAGATGGTGGTCGTACTCTTGGACCAGCTCGCCGGACCGGGTGTCGAATTGCACGATCTTCTTGTCGGACATACCAGCCAGGAACTCGTGTGAGTGATCTTCGCCGGGGTTGAAGCGGACGACGTGCGGTGTCTTGCCTGTAGAAAACCGACCAAGGCATTTGCCATATTCGGTATCCCAGAGCTTGATCTGTCGGTCGTACGAACCGGTAAGGAAAGTCTTCCCCGATGGGTGGAAGTCTGTGTCTGAGATTGCCTTGGTGTGGCCGGAGAAAGTCCGCAAGAGTTCCCGAGAGTGATACACATCCCAGAGCTTCGCCTTTCCATCGGCTGCTGACGAAAGAAGC